TTGTCTCATAGATACAAACAGCTACAACATTTCACATACTGTATCCACCTTTCATATTTGCAACCTCTATAGCACTGAAGCATGGTTTTATTCATTTATATCTACGTGACAAACAGCTACAAACCTTAAAAATCTGTATCCACCTCTCATGTTTGTAACGTATATAGCACAGGAACACGGTAGTATTCACTTATATCTACAAGACAAACAGCGACAAACCTTTACAGACTGGTTCCTCACCACTCCACTTCCCATCTTCTTGACAGTAACGTTCTTTTTCTCCATAAAGTTTATATCCATCATCACAACTGTATTCTGCCTTGGAATTGTAAATCTTTTCTGAATACTGAACATCTCCATGATGTGGCTTTTGAGGATCAGGACAGTAAGTAACTAAATTATCAAACAAAAATTATTTTCATTGTTATATTTCTGATATTTTTAATCAATTACACAGAAAGAATACTTAAATATTAAAAAAATTATGTCATTGTCAAGATTTAGCACTTAGATTAATAAAGGAAAAAACAATTGAATATCAGGTGGCAATCCCTGGAGTTGCACCACTTGGTGCTGACCCTTTCATGTGGAGACCATCTGCTTCACGGGAGGTAATGGAGAGTTCCTTTACTAATGTTACCAGTATCCTTCTAGCTGCGTATTGTTTTAATGATTCCCCATATTCTGCTTTTCCTAACTACACCATATGATACTTTGTTTTCTAGCAGCCTGTGTGTTTTTCTTAGAGCAAAGCCACATCGGGCTATCTGCTGTGTCCACCGAGAGGAATCAAACCCCTGATTTTAGCATTGTAAATCTGAAGACTTAACACTGTCCCAGCTGGGGACTCCAGCAGTCTGATTCCTTCTGAATGCAGATGAAGACTTTCCAGGTTACTGCTTTACCTTTTGAGTTCAGATGAATTTGATACTCTGCCAGTAGAGTTGTGCTGGATTTGATAAAGGGAGTTCTAATGTGAGCTTGTAAGCTTCCTTGTATATATTTATCCCATCCTGCCATGAGACATACATCCAAGAGTTGATCGTATCATACAGTTGCTTTGCTTTCTACCATCCATAAGGGGAATCAACCACCGTGAATTTCATTCAGAACTGCTTGTGAGTTAGTTGCAAATAATATGTTGGTGGCACAGTCTGTTTGTGATTTACTGCTTTCAGCAATTCAGATGAGAGGTTGCTTTATGGCTTCCAGCTCTATTTTTGTGCTGGTTGTGGAAAGCTTAAATACTTTCCAGCCTTATTTAAAATGGTGTTACACCAGACAATGGATGCCCAACCAGCTCTCTCACTATTTGTGGTGTAGGAACAATTTGATTTCCACATCTCCCAGTGACAATAAGATGTTTATTATAGTGGTGGCTGTACAGCATCTGTTCAGCCATGACTGTCTCTTCAGGCACCATTTCAGCATCTCCTGTTTGGACAACATCTGCAAGAATGTCCCAATTGAAAAAGGCAGTTGGTCAATGATGGAATTCATGGTCTTTTCACTGCTTGTAAGCATTAGTATTCTATGAGGCATTATTAATAGCTTTGAAAGGAATGGCTGTGCTACATCCCATTATCAGTCTTGAACAGTTGTTTTGTATCTATCCAACCTTATGAAGCTGTGTAGCACTCATATTGATCATTAGCAGTGTACCAATGCCTTGGGTAGCTCTGGTTAACATGATGTTGATGTGGCTGTTTGTCAAGTGTTATTCCTAAGTACTTCATTGCTTCTTTCAGAAGGATGACAGTGCTCACAAAGGATGGCTTATCCTTATCATCATGTCAGTCATTAAGTGTTCACAATATGGCTGTGGCAAAACTGATAATTATTCTTGTATAACTCCACCACTTGTTCACTTTACTAAGGTATGGTTGCATTTTGCTTTCAATTTCAGCAGCTTTGTTAGTGCCTCACTGTTCACCAGAACGTCATCTGCAAAAGCCAGTACATGATAGCTGGTTGGACTAAGGTGAGATAGATCCATGGTAAAGATGTTGAAGAGGACTGATGAGAGTGGAGATTCTTCAGGCAGACCAGTGTTTATGATGAACCAATCTGACTGCCAGGTTCTGTACTTCATCATGCATCTTCTGGTAGTTTATGTAGCTGCAATCCATCTTACACATTACACTGATTCCTAGTCTGAGCATTTTGTCAATGAGAAAGGGCAGATAGACTATTGTAGGCAACTTCAAGATGTAAAGCTATTTTCTAGGTATTCTGACCAGCTTCAAACCCTTCCCATGTATCAGGTATGAATCCAGCACATTACTCCACGTTTCTCTTTCACTGCAGCATCCATCTAATGATGATGGTTCAATCTGGGATCTTGCCAATGATATTTTGTAAAACAATTATTTCAGGGCCTTTAAGAAGAGAATGCTCTTTTGAGTATGGATTTGATAAAGGCATTATCCATATTTAAGGGATGTTACCTGCTGTTTAGATATGTTGATACTTGTACACTTAATTTCTACAGTCTGGCTTCAGTAAGGTTCTTAAAGATGGACATTCTTGCACTATTCAGTCCTGTAGCTCCATCTTTATATGTATTTATGTCTAGTGTGTATTTCATCTACACTAAAGATGGCTTCCATACCTGCATGTAGTTATAGCTCAGATAGGAATTCCAGTAGCTTGAGCCTTTCCTGCATGTCACCATGTGTATCAGTCTTCACCTGTATGGAGTGAAGTACCATCATCATCATAAATGACTGACATTGCCATCTCCATGTTGATTCTACTCTCTTGTAACAGAATGCTGTGAAGTATTCTCTCTCGTCTGTGTGGCACACTCTGGTATAGCTTGTAGAAGTAATTTTAACTGGCTGTTGATACCATATTGACATATTCATTTACCTTAATGTGGTACATAAACAGGCCACAAGTTATTAACCCTAGAACTGGCCTTACCAATGGATGGTCCTTGTCTCAAAACGATACCTGAACATATACTAACAGTAAACTAAGCTAAAATTAACAGTGATAATCCTGTACTACACTTACAATAAGTCACTTTAATGTAATAAACTTGGATATATAACCAACCAACTCATAATGGCACTATGCTACTCATGTAAGTGAACCATTGGTAATACTGTAAGCGAGAAACAAAACACAAAACTCTGTATTGGTCTAAGCAAAATGACTTGTACTAAACCTATAAAGATATTTAAATACAATGTACATATTCAGTTTAACCCACAAGAAAGTTAATAGCAGCCAAGTGCAATCATTCATCCTCTCTAAAAACGGAGTCCCACTGCAGTAATGGGCCTTGAACCACAGTCTGACATGCTCACCACTGGGTTGCCATAATGTAATAAGCTAAAATTACATACAGCATTCTAGCCCAAGACTTTTGGGGTCCCCATTTGCCTCGGGGCTACTGAGCAGCAGCCCTGTCTGCCCTTCCATTAAACTATCAATGGGGGTAAAGGGGATAATGGCAATATCTCATTTCTAAATTTTGCACTATACCACTGACTTGCACAGTTGCAAGAATTGCTTGTTACCTGGGTGGATGACAGCATATTATTCATAAATGTTAAACATGATTTCTGAAATAAAATGATCATGAAGCTAAGACTGATGAATTTTAAGACTTCTTTACATGCACACTTAGAAATGTTTGGAAATACAAAACTATTTGTCACTGAAAATTGTTTTTGATGAAACCTTCATGTTGTGAATCACTGTCCTTAACACTATTTCTCTACCAGCTGTAAATGGGTTTCTGAGAACGTTTATTTGCCAGCCGCAACTGCAAAATAGAAAGTACTAAGGCAAACTCACTTTTAGTCATTTTACAGTATTAAAAACGTCTAGGTGCATATCATTTGTGGTGATATGACAAATTTGATTCTTTGTTTCTGAAGATTTGAGTGTGTATTAATTTGGGAAAATATCAGATTTGGATAATTACAGTATTGTATGTCAGGCGATGCTGGGAGCATGCGTGCTGTAGTTTCTCGAAGGATCATTAATTATCAAGGAGGCTCAAGTTTGTTTGAGGCGCCCTCTTTTTTCAGTATGTAAGCCCAGCAAATAAAGCCAGCGATAGATAGATTGGGAAGGTATAGATAATTGAGTCAATCGAATAGTAGGCACCATAAGTAAAGTGTGTGAATCACTGTGATTTATAGTGTGTGTTATAAAAGTAGTTAAGTTTGATGTACTGATTGGAAATTCTGTGTACTAAAAAGTGGTATCAAGAGAGAATAAACTAGTTTTAATCAAGAAAGGACTTGTATCGCTGAAGTTCCTCGGAAAGAATTTCTACCAGAAATTATCAAACAAGCAGATACCTAACATAACAAATTGGCGTCAGAAATAGGATGAAAAAGAAAAAAGAAGACGGAAATGAGAAGTGGCAAATCAAACTACAGCTTAGCAGATTTGATGGCAGCAATACAAGAACAGCAAAAGAAACAAGAAGAATGAGAAAATAAACAAGAAGAGAGACTACAGCAGTGGCAAGAAAACCAGCACCAGTGGAAACTGGAACAAGAAATGAAACAAGAAGAAAGTCTTCAACAGTTGATAGAAAGCCGGCATACACAAATGGAAAAGATTAGTAATTTTCAAAGTGAATTAAATACATTAAAGGATGATTTACACAAGGAGGATATATTAGCCATGGACCTAACCAGCCCCAGACAGCAGGAAGCCCCTTCCAGACCCCACAGCTAAACCCTAATGCTGACATCATCAGTCCTGCCAGAAGTCACATTCTAGACATGAGGGTCAGCAATAGGGGTGATCTAGTACAAAGAAAGCCAAGGATTTCGATGAGAAGGCACCATGGGAGGCACATATAGCACAATATGAGCT